GATCTGGCGGCGGGGGGGGTTGGAAATCCCCATGGTTACCCTTTCTTGGAAGTCATGCGTGGACACCGGACCGCGTTGTCTTGGGCCCCAGTTTCACGAGAAAACTGCGTCGCCGCCCTTTCCCGATGTATCGGCTACTTTCGGTCCTTCGGTTTAGTTTCAAGTCTCCGCTCGGTATAGCAGCTTCTGTAGAGGTTATGATGCCTGCAGTTCTTGCTTAGTAAAGCTGCAGCGGGACTGCATCCCTCAAGGACTAACCCCCCCCCGTGTGCTGCAGAGCGGATAGAGTGACGGGCTACGATTTAGGAGGCTTGGGTCTGAATCCTTGCTCAGCCGTAGAAATTCACGGGGAGCGGTGTGAACTGTTAAAAAAAACCTCCTTAAATATCTCACTTATTTTGAAAGCCTGTAAGGGTTGCTATTTATTTATTTAAAAGGCCACCCCACTTTTCTTCTACTTATATCATTAAAAAGATAATGGCGCCAGAGACTGGCAAAACCTTAGGAAGAACAACTTTCAGAACAGGGCCAAAGAGCCCAAAAAACCCACAACAACCAAAAAGATAATACTTAAAAGCTAAAAATAATAAGTGTACAAATATTTTTGAAAGAATTCTATATTATATTAAGAGTAAATAAAATTAATACTAAAAACACATTTAAAAACAACAAGCACAACAATCCATTACAAAAACTTAGACAGCCAGTCACTTGGGGAAAGCCTGCCTGAAGAGAAAGGTCTTTGCCTGCTTGCCAAAGGACAGCAAAGAGGGAGCCAGCCTGGCATCCTGTGGGAGGGAGTTCCAGAGGCTGGGAGCAGCAAGACAGAAGTCTCCCGCGTCTCTTCCAATTTCTGACTTGACAGCATTTAACAACAACAAAAGCCCCACTGGACTCTGGGGCTTACTTCTGAGTATACTTGTAAGCACTAGAGGACCAATAAATCCAGATGGAACTTGGTGGGTGGTATTAGGACTGTGGTCACTAAATGTGCCTCAGGCTCAGATTCTTCCAGGCTAAGGGCAGGATAATGACATCCTAACCATGACCAGCTACATATGATTTTTGTGTCTCTAGAAATGTGTTGTTATGATTAATCTCCAATATCTTTCTCCCACCTTCCAGTTCTTAAGTTCATCCCCATCTAAGACACTTGGCAAGTAGGAAATCAGAGAGCCCCTGCTTCCCCCTCCTGTGTAAAAATGAGCACAAGCCAAAATCTCACTTGCTATGCATGCGCCTTTCAAAGATAGCAAAGCATGTGTGCAAAAAAAAAAAAACAAAACTTTCAGCCACCCTTTTTTATTTAGGACCCTTTCATTATGACTTTCCCCCCCCTCTGGCAGTACATTGGGTGTGTAGAGCGAGCGCCCAGTCAGGCACTGACAAGAGGGTGGTATTGTTTGGTCTGCTTGGTTTATCCCGGGGGGGGGGGCGCTGCTGGAGCTGACTATCGACAGTAGCCACCAAATACCTGTGGCTGAAGCAGCGCCCCTTGCCTGGCCTGCTCATTTTATAGTTTAATCTAGATCCATATGGAACAGAAGGAACAGGAAAGAGGGAGGGCAGTGGAGGGGGGAAACCATTGAAGTAATGCTGTGTAGAAGAAGGTGTGGTGGAGGGAGTAGAACATGCCTGTGTAGGAGAAGAGAGGTTAGATACCTCACATCTATCCTCTCTTCTAGTTCTGCCCCCTACCAAAGAGTACCAGATGACCAGATCAGTATGTCCTCGAGCCATATGGTGCTGTTAATGGACACCAGGTCAGTACAAAATAAGACCGTCCTCATCCATGATACAATCTTGGATGGGGGGGCGCTGACCTGGCGTGCATTACTGAGACCTGGGTGGGAGAGGAGGGTGGTGTCTCATTCTCCCAGATGTGTCCACCTGGGTACTCGGTCCAGCACCAGGGTCGCTTAGAGGGTCAGGCAGGAGGAGTTGCGATAGTCTATACTATCTATAGGACTTCCATATGGCAAATCTCCCTTATTTGGGCAAAATGTTGGAGCAGGTTGTGGCCGGGCAACTCCAGGCGCTGCTGAATGACACGGATTTTCTAGATCCATTTCAATTGGGTTTCAGGCCGGGTTTTGGCATGGAGACAGCCTTGGTTGCCCTGTATGATGACCTTTGCCAGGAGAGAGACAGGGGGAGTGTGACCCTGTTGATACTCCTGGATCTCTCAGTGGCATTTGACACCATCAACCATGGTGTCCCTCTGGATAGATTAGATAGGTTGGGAGTTGGTGGCACCATTTTAAGGTGGTTCCACTCCTTTCTGGCTGACTGTGTCCAGAAGGTGATGCTGGGGGACAATGGCTCGGTTCCATGGCGGTTAAATCATGGGATTCCTCAGGGCTCAATATTGTCCCCCAAGCTGTTTGACATCTACATGAAACTGTTGGGAGAGGTCATCAGGAGATTTGGGCTGAGGAGTCAGCAATATGCTGATGACACTCAGCTCTACCTCTCTTTTTCCACCAATCCAGGTGAGGCTGTCTCTAAACTGAACTCATGTCTGGACCTGATAATGGACTGGATGAGAGTTAATAAATTGAAGCTTAATCCAGACAAGACAGAAGTGCTGTTAGTGTGTGGTTCGTTGGACAGGTTAAAGGGCCATTTCTCTGCCCTGAACGGGGTTGCACTCCCCCTGAGGGACAGGATCTGCAGTCTGGGGGTGCTCCTCGACCCCGGTCTGGCCCTGGAGACCCAGATGGACTCGGTGGCCAGGGGTGCCTTCCTGCAACTGCAGAAATTGTTTCCAGCTGTAGCCCTACCTGGACAGTCACACATGCACTGGTAACAACCCGTTTAGACTACTGTAATGCGCTTTACTTGGGGCTGCCTTTAGACGATTCGGCAACTATAACTGGTTCAGAATTGATCTGCAGGTCTGGTGATTGGAGGAGGAAGCTTCCCCAAACTCTTGAGTCGAGTATGTATTCCTTTGAAACATGAGGATGACCGTGATTCTTGGGGCAGCTTGAAAGATTGACTGATACGTAAGATGGCCTAGGCTAGGAGAGTCTGGTGATCCGTTTTGAAGATGCTTCAGGGAATCAATGGGGTTTTTTCCTTCTTGACATCTCCGGTCACCACGCCGGTCTCCGTGAAATCTGGAAGAAGGCCTCCCTGGGTTCTTAGGGTGCGCGTTGGCAAGATTTACGTGTTCAAATCTGGAGATAAACGACAGAAGCACCTTTGTGCCGACCTTACTGACATTTCGGCACCAGGTTAAAACCTTCCCGTTCTGGAAGTTTTTTAACTGAAGGTTTTAATTGAACGTTTTAATTTTAATTAATAAGTCATAGATCTAGATTTTGTTTTTGCTTTTGTAGAGTGGATGTGGCCGCATTGGTTTTTAGTGTCTGTTTTTAACTGTTTTAATTGATGTTGGAAGCCGCCCAGAGACTCTTGCAGAGTGTGGACAACATATAAGTCGAATAAATAAATATTTTGACTTGGTTTTGACTTGGTTATTGTATCATGTGCTTGAGAGCTTGTATATAAATAATTGCATGCCATTAAGTCAATTCTGATCAATAATTACCCTTTTCACAGATTTCTAGGTGTAAAGTACAGTGGTGCCCCCCATAGCGACGATAATCCGTGCAGCCAAAATCGTCGCTATATGGATTCGTCACTATGCGAAATAAAAAAGCCCATAGGAATGCATTAAAACCCGTTTAATGTGTTCCTATGGGCAAAAAACTCACCTTTATGCGAAAATCCTCCATATGGCCGCCATTTTCGCTGCCCGGTAAGCGAGGAATCAGCGCAAAAACACAGCGGGCAGCAGTGAACCGCCGATCAGCTGTTGGGAAATCATCGTTATGCAAAAATCGGTAAGCGAAACAGCTTACCGATCATCGCAAAGCAATTTTTTCCCATTAGAAACATCGCAATGCGATCGCTTTTGCGATCGCAAAAACTTAATCACTATGTGGATTCGTCGTTAAACGGGGCGCCCGTTAAGCGCGGCACCACTGTACTCACAAAAGTGGTTTACCATTCCCTTCTTCATGGGGCGCCCTGAGACTATGCAGCTTGTCCAAGGCTGTACAGCCTGGCTCTTCCCAGGGGAACACCAGGGAAATCAAATTCCCAAATGTAAAAGCAGCTGGTTTCAGTGCTGGTGATTTCAGGGGATCATTCCACTGTGCAGATAACACAGAGCTC